GGGTGGGTTTTTAAGTGGGTTTTTAAGTGTAGCTACGTTCAAGAATTGCTTCGTTTAAAGCTGAGTAATGAATTGGCAGAGGTGAGGAACTTCCCTTCCCCTTCCAGCCCAGGGATGACCAAACCAAGTGTGAGAAGCTGAGCTGTTGCAGCTCTGAACTCCCATGATCGTGGTGACCTGCTTCAGTTCCCTGCTCACATGTACAACTGTCTCTGGTTTTAATAAATCCATGGCTGGTTTTTTATGTGCAAAGTGTTCTTTGATAATTATGCTGGCTACAAAAGGAGAAAAGCACCTTACACTGCTCCAGGAAAGCAGAGCTCAGATGCTGCCATTTCTACATGTCTAATTACAATTCCAATTTGCATCCAGGAACGGCTTTTACACTAATCACAAGTCAGAAAGGCTGATAAATAATTTACCATTTCCTAATACAGTGTAATCAATGTGAGGAGCTGGGAGTGTGTTGACTTTAACTGCTTACATGTGTCTGTACTTTGTGAGGGGTTGGCACAAAGAGGTGCCAAATCCAGCATGGAAAAGCTTCCCTTCAGCACAGCAGAGCTGGGGGGGCTGAGCCTCGGGAGCTGCATTCCCTGGAAGCTGATCCTATCCCCATGGAGTGAGGGCAGCAGGGGAGAATGGAGGGAAACAGTCACAGGTCACTGAGACTGGAAAAGTAGTCCAAGATCTTAGTGTCCAACCTGTGACCATCACCACCTTGTCAGCTAGAGCAGAGCACTGAGTGCCATGTCCAGTTGTCCCTTAAACACCTCCAGGGATGGTGATTCCATGGGCACTCTGTGCCAGGGCTGGACAGCCCTTTCCAGGAGGGATTGTCCCAATATCCAACCTGAATCTTCCCTAGTGCAACTTGAGGCTGTTTCCTCTTGTCCTGTCCTGTCCCTTGTGGGGGCAGAGCCTAATCCCACCTGGCTGCACCTCCTGGCAGGAGGGAGAAAATCATCTCCACAGGTTTCCTCCAGCACTTCTCATCCCACTCTGCTGCCTGCCAAAGTGGAAGAGGGTGATATTCCCAGGCCAAGGCAGCAGTGTGGTGGGCAGGAGGGTGACCTGGGGTGTGTGTTTCTCTGGATGTGCTCACTCCATGCTGCCCCTGGCCCAGGGTGACACCAGCACTGCCTGATCCAACACCGAGAAAATCATCTCCACAGGTTTCCTCCAGCACTTCTCATCCCACTCTGCTGCCTGCCAAAGTGGAAGAGGGTGATATTCCCAGGCCAAGGCAGCAGTGTGGTGGGCAGGAGGGTGACCTGGGGTGTGTGTTTCTCTGGATGTGCTCACTCCATGCTGCCCCTGGCCCAGGGTGACACCAGCACTGCCTGATCCAACACCAGGACTCTGCTTTCCCTGTGCCACAGGGACCAGAACTGCCGGAGTCAGCAGCTGGAGCCAGTCCCAATCTGTTGGAAGTAAGCACAGATTTCACATCCATCTGTGAGTGTGGCAGTGCCCATTCCCTCCTCTCTGTATTCCTCCCTCCCTAGCTCCATCAGAGGCTTCACAGGGCCTTGCTACACCTACTGGGATCATCCAGGGGAGGTCTGGAATGCATCCAACCCCAACTTCCACATGGGAATCACCCCTGCACTTGCACCAGCTTACAACCCCCTGTGCTTCCTTGAGCTCTGGGCTACAGTGAGCCCATCCCTGCCCTTCCCCAGCCACAGGCAGCAGGAGCAGCTGCTCCCACGGGGCTGGTGGGACACAGGGAGTGCAGAAGGAGGCACAGCCTCCTCTGTCCTGCACTTTGCAGCGTTGGGAGCAGAACTGGAGCCCAGCTGAAGCCCATGGAGTGTGTTTAAAAATGCCCAGCCACTCCTACATCACGGCTGTGCAGCAGAGCAGCGAGTGCTGCTGAAGGATTAGCCTGGTAATTTGGCTAATTTTTCTTGAGCTTCATTTTTCACATTATGAGCTTTGCAGAAAGACTAACGAGCCTGGGTTTGCCTCTAATAGGCAGTGTGAGGATGGGGAGGGGGGAAGCTGTGCTCCATCCTGAAGGATGGATGGAGGGATTGAGTGTTCCAGCCAGGCTGGAGGGTGAGTATGGGGGGCCCAGTGAGAACTGGGACAGCAAAAGTGAAAACACTCCTTATAAAAATCCCTTTTAAAAGCTTGGGTTTTCCTTCACAACCAGCACACGGGGCAACATAACAGCTGAGATGTCTCCCACCTCCCCTGGAGTGTCACCCACTGCCCCAGGAGTGCTCCTGTTCCCCCCAGCACATCCCCCCTGCCCCA